ACATGAATTCTCCTAATAATATCTGCATCCATTATACCATCACCATGAACAATAAACTCTAAGAGTTAAAAGCGACTCATCTACCATCTTAAAGAATTTTCCTTTAATTTGAGGAAAATTTTTTCTATCACACAATAAGTCAGTTGTATTCCTCCACTTTAACCATTCAACATATATAAATTATAGACTTCAACCATCCAATATGAATTCTATATATGAACAATTAACCCTAAGGATTTAGTGAATCCTATAGTTTGGCCATAGGATTTATGCCAGATTTGAGCAGGATTTAGCATAAATCCTCCCAAAGAAAACCTTGGTTTAGCTTGCAATGTATAAAACCTCTATTTTCCTCTATTTTTCCATAAATCCCAGATTGAGTAAACCCTTTAGTTTGGTGAATTTAAGGGATTTTATAGAATGGGCACGTGAAAGAGAGAAAGTTACCATCACAACGAGCGATCTCCCGTTGTTGCTTCTGATATCAATCCAACAGGAAGGATGTCATCGAAGGAGTGAAGTCGAACAATGATAAAGAATTATGAACATCGATGAGGAGAGGATAGGTTACCAGTAAGGAATGTTAATGAGTAAGGGTCATCACTATAGGCATGAGCACAAAGGAATAGACAAAGCTCGAGTGAAAAAAAAATAGATAACCTGGATATCAGTTTAGATAAACTTATTTGTGACTAATTTGTGGTAGATTTGTGATAGAATTGTGGCAAAAAATCCTTCACAAATCTGTGATGAACAAATCTTCCCCAATTCATCACAAAATTTACAACAAAAATTTCCATCACAAATCCATCGCAATTTTATCAAAAAAAATTTGTTGCAAAATCCATCACAAATCTGCCACAAATTACTAGTTTTCCTATAGTGTAATTAGGGTATTCACAAGATCATAAAACTTCTCCTTTTATTGGCCAACTACCTGTTATTAGCCTCACTATCTAAAAAAAATCAAGCTTATATAACTCCCCTCTCAGGGGGACAAAAGATCCCATCCAGATTCTTCTCTATTATCATCAGTTAATCCTAAGCTATTTTAGGCTCACTGACACCTGAAAGTCTAGGAGGTTGCAACCTCATAAAATTTTATAAATAACTATCCATTTCATTAAGTTTAGTACTAGAAACTTGTGCATGATCCTCACCTACCAACTATGCTACTAGGTCTATAATATGAGAAATTACCTCAAAATTGATCATTAGAGCTGTATTATTAACCTAAGCTACCTAACTAGAGCTTTACTCGTTAGTCATATTTTGATCTAGCTGATCCATCTCAGAGACACTAAACATTAGTATTTGTGACACATGCATATAATAATAAATAGATAAATAAATGCCCAATACTACTAAGAACCATCTCACTTATTTATAGATTACATCTTATAGCTCTGTTACATTTTATTTGCCCAACTAATGCTCATATACCAAAAAGTTTATCATGACCCAACCCGATATAACCCAACCAAACCATACAGGTCATACCATACCTGATCATGGAAAGAAGCTTAGACAGACCCAAGATCTAGTTGGTGAAATGTTGTGAAACTAAAGCATCCAAATCATATACAACCTAAAGCCACTACTAAATATAAATATGAAGCGAAAGAATACTAAATCTCATAAATAATTTCTTTGTATGTCAACCAAAAATACATGTACAATTTGTGATCTATCAACAACAATGCTTGGTAACACCAAAGTATAATAAAAAAGAAAAGCCAAGCTTACCCAAAAAAAAAAAACTAACCAAAATGCATACCTATAGTATAGATTAGAGCCTCATATTAAAAACTACTCAACTCACATTTTACGCTTTCATTGGCTTGGAAATGGAGGCAAAAGTGGGAGTGAGCTAATGCGGCTCAGTAGGTTACGATAGCTTAAAATAGGAACCAATAACTGAACCCAAAAGAGATAAAAATGCTAAAATAATTCAGTGAAGTATAATACAAACAGCTGAAATAAAAGCATGAACTTATACTGAATTGAAATAAGAATTTAAATAAATCATTAAAACTGATTAAAATATAAACAAACTCCTCGTAATAAATATAGGGATAACTCTTAGGCCCCAACTTTTAATACATATGAAATAATAGAACCCCCTTTTTGTTGTCACTGACAAAATCCTTCTTATTGCAAATAGAATCTATTATCGATAAATAACAAAGTAGCCCTCATGCTCTAAAACTTTCAACACATAACAAACAATGTTATTTATTATTTTCACACAATTCAAATATTTTGAACACATATATTGAAAACAAAGTGCATTCTACACTATTGAAGCGATTATAGTGTAATTTTATAATTTTACAAAAACTGCTCTAATGGCAGTCAAAATAATTTCTCACACAGTGTCCTATAGTTTGATAAAACTATAATTTTTAGGATTCCACCATATTACCATAGATTGTGTATAATAACATTTTAAAGCTCAAATTAAAAATTTAAATTGATAAAAGTAGCTATTTTTCAAAATCACTTGGCAAAAAATCTTGATTAAATACTCAAAATGACTAAAATAATTTAGTGACAGCATATCAAATGTTATGTTAATGAAATTTGCCATAATTCAAGAAAGCTGTATTTTTGTAAAACTAAATTATAAATTTGATAAAAAAAATCTCCAAAATTTTGAATTATTGAAAACTAAGATAGACAAAACATAACCTATATGGACTTGAATAACTTTTTAAACTGGGTTGTAAGCTAAGAATTACTTGAAGCAGCCTGAAATGAAGTTTATCACTTTAGCAAACCCTCTCTCTCTCTCTCACTAGGTAGTTCGTCAATTAAAATAGATCAAATTGAATAATGAACAAATATATTTTAAATATTAAATTTTGGCCTAACGCCGCTATGCCAATCAAGATGCTCCTTTAGAGAGCCCATTGTATCATAGCGCTGCACCCATGCCACTATGTTGAATTAATTTTTAATTTTTCTATGGCGTCGAAGAGCTATTAATCCAAGTGTTGGGTTCCCACAAGGGGAAAATTTTAAATTTTCAAAGCATGCAAATAGACCCACTTCAAATCACATGTAGACCATGTATATGCACACAAAATATTTTCAAACACATGTAGAAAGATTGAAAAGCAAAAGTTTACTAGGTTATCTCTACTCGGGTCATATCATAACAAGTATAACCATATACTGACTCTCAAGTTGCCACAATAGTTTCGACAATATGTACGGTGTCTCCACCTTAGGGTCTATACATGCCGCCATTAGTACTTAGTGTGCCTTCAAAGAAAACTATGGGCTCACATATCTCAAAGTGAGGGACACATCATCAGATCTTAATAAGAGGATCACCCTCTCCAAGCTCTCCTATACTACCACTTTCTTATTCAATTTGACTTTTTCAATCTCCCTTGGTATAGGGGCTATAAACTCATTCAATTATGGGTTGATAGGTATGCTCACTTCAATAATCACAGTCTTCTTTTGCTCACTAGATGGCTAGACTTTCTCTCATTACCCTCTCATTACCATGTGCTTGTGAAAAAGCACCTTCTTTAGTTTCCTATCACTTATGTCATTCAGCCTTGCAGATTAGATCAGTCATCTCGAGCAAGTTAATAACTTATGCTCAAGGGCTAAAAGAAATAATTGTAGTTATAAGACCAATCCCACTATTAATTATAGCTGAAGATAGTGCAACACATCAACTCAGTGTCATAATGAAGAATCTCCAAAGTGGGCTCAACGATTGAGGTAACAATAATGATTTGAAGTAATTTGTACTTGCTATTCTTTTACATTGTTCGATAAGAATAACAAATGCTCCTCATCTTAAATTAACTTTTTGCTTTGTGTAACTCACATTTTCCAATAACATATGAATCGAAAAAACTAAATGTATGTTCGTACATGCCCACTTAGGTAACTCATTGGGATCTCCCATTACTGAACTTGATCAGGCATGGTGTGGGGTCATATGATCAAAGCGCCATTCTTTTAAAATGAGCGTGATCCCATATAGTAGTACCTTATACCTACCCACGGTCAAGTAGCCACTCTCCCCTATAGAAATAGTAGCATGCAGACTTGACCTGAGACAACAAATCAATGATGTAGTCATTCTTGACAAGCTCCTCCAAAGAACTTGTCCAAACTTGCTTATGCTCTAAGGACCACTAATCTAAATGAAACTTATTCACCTATATTGGTTGTCCATAACCAAGAACATTAGCCTATTGCCGACATCCTCAATCAAAATACATAGAGTGCAAATCTATAAAGCCGATGACTACAACTTCATTGACTATTTGTAGTTATCACCATCTCAGGGACTCAATCTTGAAGACTTGATGTACGCACCTAGGAACTTGCCCCTTGTTCCTAAAGACTCTCCAGCACAGACTCACCCATTGAGCTCCTAAAGACTCTCCAGCACAGACTCACCCTGTGACCAAGATCCTAAAGAATCGTCTAAGATCTTGCTTTGAAAGACCTACTCAAGGCGTTCTCTTAAGAGTAGAAGGTCACATAAAAAATATTTCTCTTAATTAGAGAAATAAAAAAAAAAGAATGTCACATAAAAAAACTAAAATATAGAGGGCCACTTTAGAGACAACAATCAACATGTACACCATTCAACCAGTCCACGCATTAGCTTTAATATGTAACAATCACATATTGTAATATTTTACCTTCTTTTAAATATAATATTTTATGTAGCTTTCATAATCCTATAAATAAGTGAAAAATAGACACTTTGATTTTTTTATTTTTTTTCATGTTATTGAGAGTATTTAGAGAGATACACTAGTTCTCTGCTGATTTTGACTATTTATAGATCTTACTCATGATTTTATATTTCTAAGTTTTAAAAAATTTACCAGTAGAGTACTATATCATTCAAAAATAAATTTGAATTCAATAATTTAAATATTAGCTATACAAATACATTAAAAATTTTGTTATATAAATATAGACACCCAAAGAGTAAAGAGTATATAGGGAAACAAATTTGAAGAAATTAAGCCCGGAATAGGATGATCACAACGCCATCTCGCTACTGGATGCTCTACCGCAGCAAACACCCTTTCAAACAGTCCAGCACTCCACCGCTGCGCTGCAACTACTCCGTCCTCCACGAATGGCGAAACGGCCCAATCAACGAAAACCGCAGCTGGGGTCCTGCCGGCCCTCAGCCGTCTGAACTGCGAACGCCGACGTCATTCGGAGATGATTCCACCGCCTCATTCTCCTCCCTCGCCGATTACGCTGCTCTTATCCTGTCCACTCCCGATCCGCTCCTCAAGTCCCGTCTTTCGCACCTCGCTTTCTCCCGCTGGAGCAGCTACTGCCTTCCCGTAGGCGTCGTTTTCCCTCCCGATCGTCCCGCCCGCCCGGCGAGGCCTATTCTGGTAGCATTCTGTGTCTTCTTGGGGTTTTACCATTTCGTCGAGCAGTTAACGAGCTGTTAGGGTCATTGAGAAGCTGTGTGTTTCTATAATGGTTTTGACTGAGATCAAGCTTGAACTGCAGAAACTAAATGGTTTTGCTCGAGTTTTTTTATTCTAAACTGGACGAAAAATTCGGTTTTAGATTCTAAAGTTATGTGGGTATCTTCTCTCCGCTGTGCAATCCGTTTTATATGGATGAGAATTTTTTTGGAAATTTGTATGATGAGATTGAGTTCTAACTTTTCTATCTCAATACCATTTGGTTTTATTGGATCGTTCAATTCATCCAAACTAGAGAATGAAAACCCATTTTTTTCCATTTAGATCAATTCCAGGAAAATAGATTGATAATTTCCCGAAGTTAGCAAAATCTCGAACTAATCGAATGCGTTGAACAGCCAAAATAATAAAGCACGGTTGAACCACCCAAATTTGGCCAAAATCATCAAGGTAATGGAAATTGATTAAACTTGATTAAGAGCATCGAAAATCAGTAGAAACCATCGTAATCATCTAAATATAACAGAAAACTCATTCAAAAGTTATTGTATTTATAATTTTAAACCTATAAACAAAAAAATAAAGAGCAATTCAGCTAACATTTAAATGTTTTTAAAATTATAACACGTAAATGAAAGGTAAAATTTCAAAAAGACACAGTAGCATATCAACTATTAGGAGATGAAAATTAAAAATGAACAAGTTGCACAATAATTGTGCGACTAATGCTTACTAGGCGACTAGGGCAAGTTGCTTGGTGACTAGCACTTTTTTCCATGTTTGTGGGGCTTGATGTTTTGAAAAATCATCTTATTAGCAATAGCTCAAGTAATAATTTCATTGGGCTATATGCCTATAAGTAATTTAGGCCATGAAAAGGATGAGTCAAATCATAAATTCATCGAGGAAAAGAAGTTTTGGCCATCAAGATGATAACAGAACACTATTATGTTGAATTAATCACTGCTAGGACAATTAAGAAAAAGCGAAAGTGATCTGGAAGAAGATGGAGAAGTTATTATTTCAGTAATTCTGTTCATTTGTCCGTACAGGATTACAAAGATAAAATAAATGAAAGTATTTACAAACGCATAAATACTATTATTCCTATAATTTGTTATGGATGACCTACTCTGTTTTTTATCAAGGGCTGAGATAGTGTTTGTAGCTTGCATTGAGTGTTGAGAACGCAATGTCAGAGAAGGTGGTTGTTGTGGCATTTGTATATAATGCCTAAATCACTTTTGTTATCACCGCATGTCAAGTTGATAGTCGAATCGATGATTGACAGCTTGTGCGAAGAAATGTTAACCATTGTTTAGGTTGAGCTTTGGTGAAAATGTCAGATAGCTAATCCTAAGAAGAGGTGTGATGAAGAAAATTTATCTTGGATAAAATGCTCTCTTGTATGAAATGATGATTGATTTTTATATATTTGTACTATTTCGATATATTTTGCACGGAAATGAAAAACTAGATTAGTTGCAATGACTATAGTTGAAATATTATCATAATATAAGTGGTAGTTTCTAAGGGAAGAGAAAACTCATGGTAGAGATGTAGAAGCCAAATTCTTAGTGGTACCCATAGAAAGACCACGATACTCTGCTTGCGTAGATGAACACTCAACTGTGGAAAGTTTCTGAACACACCATGAGATACAAGTTTGATGAAGGTACGCACAATAACCTGTAGTGGACTTGTCTATAGAATCACTAGCCCAATCAGAGTTTTAGTAGGCTTGAATTGAAGAGTTAGTTTTTCTTTTTGAATAACAATACTATAATGAAGAGTTCCCTCAATATATCAAAGTATGTGTTCGATAAGTGGAAGATGACATTATAGAGGATGATGTAAATTTTGGCACACCTTGTTCACAACGAAGAAAACTATCCAGTCCTGTGATGGTAAGGTATTGTAGAGATCCAACATATTGTAAAAAAAGACTAGTATTAGGAACAAATTCTGAGTTTTATATTAGGCGGTGGTTTGCATGGAAAGGATTTGAAACTAGTGTAGTCACTCATTCCGGCTTTGTGTAGAATTTCTATTAGATATTTGGCTTAGCTAATAGTAAAACTTGCAGGTGTTGAAATAACATAAATATAAAGAAAATAGGGAATTGGTCACAACTTTTTTGTAATGAATTGATTATGAAGGTTCCAAAGTAAAGTTGCAGATTGTTGCTAGTAGGGAGAATGTCATATTCGTAAATGAATAGAAAAAAGTGGGTGTTGTGAGAGTGATAACTCATCAAATGAGGGTAGACAAAACTGTAATGAAAACCTTATTGTATCAGATGAAGAGAAAGGGTGGCATGTCATTGGCTTGGGGCTTTTTCGAGGCCATAAATGGCATTCTTCAAAAGGAAAACATGAGTGGGGTATTGTGGATATTTGAAGTGGTTGAGCCATGTAAATAATTTCATTACGATGACCATTTAGGAAAGCACGAGACAAATTTCCAATAAAAATAGAGGACCTTGGTAAGAAGTTGGATATTAGGTAGCTTGGCACAAGGCTGAAAGTGTCACTGTGATCAATATTTTATTATAGGTTGTTGAAGTAGAGGCATTTCTCCAATACTATCTTCATTATAATAATCTCCTCATTATATTTTGAATCATTATAGGGGAGAGACGATGTAATAGTTCTTGTTGAGCAAGAGAGGTGGCTAAGCCATGCTCCAAAGAAAACCAAACGATAAGGATGACTTAAAAAGTACCATTCGAAGGTTTTCTATATCATCTGAGTAAATCTTGGGGATAAATTGGATTAAAAAAAAAAAGAATTCATATGAAATTGTGCCACGTTTGATTAAGGATCCCCTATTTATAAGTATGGAGAATATAGATTTTGTGGTTTCATAGGGCAACTGATTGTTTAAATATACAACATTAATAAGTGTATCAACTCAAGGATAAAGTGGTAATTGAGCTTCAAGAAGTAAGGTCCACATAGATTCACTTAAATTTATATGTTTTTGTTTAGAGATCCTGTTTTGGTGTGGTGCATATGGATAGCTTTATTGATGGACAATACCCCAATGAGAGAGGAGATTGTTAATAATGGTATTGTTATATTCTATGCCACCATTATATCATAAAATTTTTATGGGTGTTTGAAGCTATTTTTCCACCAATTTTTATGGGAAAGATACAAAATTTTGAATTGTTTTTCATTTATTCTTTATTTGTAATACCTAACGGTATTGAGAAAAGTCATTGATGAATAAAGTATAATAGCGATAGCCTTGAGTAGAAATAATTGAACTAGGTCCCCCAACATTAAAATGCATAAGTTTAAGCGGTTTATTTGTAATAGTATTGGATTCAGAAAAATATAGCTTCTGATTCTTTGCAAGTTCACAAGATTTACAAGTAGTGGAGGCATTGAAAATACATAATTAGGGAAATTGATGGGCTAATAAGGTAAGGATTGAGCTGCATGAGTGCTCCAAATGATGATACCACACTATGGAGCAAGCTTGGCGAGATAACCGAGCATGAGATGATGAGGATGCTGATTTTTACGGTGAAGCAGGAATATGATACAAGTCTTTATAACATGGTGCTTGGAGAATTATTCAATTGCATTATAGATTATTGATGCAAGTATCAAATGAGATGGGACATTTAATTTCAATAGTAAGTTTATAAATTGATAGGAGATTGTGTGATAGATTAGGAACATGAAGAATTGGAGATAGGAAAAGCTTATAAGATGGAGGAAGAAAGCTTTAACCTATATGAACGATTGGCAGAGATTGACCACTGTCCCCAAGAAGTTGGTCATTTTTATAGTATTGTTGTGGTTGTTCATGTCTGACGGGTGGTGGCAGGTGGCCCCGAAATTCAAATACTAGGAAGATGGTGAAGCCTGAGATGTAGCTAGAAAGGCTTATTGAGCTGGAGCGAGTGGGTGTAAAGTTGTGATTTGCACGTTGCCAGCACTGAGTAGAGTGGTTGCCTTTGCATAAAATTTAACATTCAATATAAGAGGTTGAGACCGATCTCCCTTGGCCAGAACGCAGTGAGCAGCACGATTAGATGATGCATGAGGATGTCTCAACCATAACTAGAGGTGAGCGAGCGATCACATCTCCTGATGTGACTGATAGTGAGAGCCATGGTTGGATCATGTGGGGTTGAAGCAACAGAGACATTATACTCACAGCTTGCTTCATTGGATAAATTGATTTCTTCCCTATTCAAGAGAGAATAAAGGCTGTCTAGATTGATATGAGTACGATTGCTTGGAATGACAGTTTTGAAGGCTTGGTAATTCTGTGGAATTCCATTGAGAATATATCAAATAATGTCCTTGGGATCAACTAAACATCTGTCAACAATAATTTTATCCACCTTTGTTTTGACCGCTGATAAGTATTACATCATGGATTGATTTTTCATGACTAAACAATGCAATTTATTCTTCAGTTGAATGGCACGAAATTGATTGATGTATTATAGCCCTTTTCAAGGAACAATTATTAGGTCAGGTGACCCGATGTAGCTCTACGTTCGGACGCCAATAATATGTCGCCACGTGGTCTTACTCAATACCGCGCGGCCCGACGACTTGACCCGGGATTGCTATGTTCGCGTATTGTTCGGTATTGCTCTAGGTATTGCTCGGTATTGCTAGGTATTGCTTGGTAATAATGAAAATTATCGCTCTGTGAAGACCAATATCGAGCAATACCGAGAAATACCGAGCAATACCGAGAAAAACTCGGTATTGCTTGGTATTGGTCTTTACAGAATAATATTTCTCGTTATTGCCAAGCAAATACCGAGCAATACCTAGCAACACGCGAACATAGCAATCCCGTCTCCGTTCCGGGTTGGGGTTGTCGGGCCGCGTGATAAATAGTGAGAACACGTGGCACTATTTTACTGGCGTCCGAACGTAGAGCTATGTCAGGTGACCAGACCAAATAAAAGTTCCTTTTCAAGGGTA